TCCTGGAACACACGTGCTTGTGATCTTGGAACATACCTGCTTGTGATCATGGAACACACCTGCTTGTGATGCTGGAACATACCTGCTTGTGATCCTGGAAGCTACCTGCTTGTGATCTTGGAACATACCTGCTTGTGATCATGGAACATACCTGCTTGTGATCCCGGAACACACCTGCTTGTGATCCCGGAACACACGTACTTGTGATCCTGGAACATACCTGCTTGTGATCCCGGAACACACCTGCTTGTGATCCCGGAACACACCTGCTTGTGATCCTGGAACACACCTGCTTGTGGTCCTGGAACATACCTGCTTGTCGTCCTGGAACACACCTGCTTGTGGTCCTTGAACACACCTGCTTGTGGTCCTTGAACACACCTGCTTGTGGTCCTGGAACATACCTGCTTGTGATCCCGGAACACACGTGCTTGTGATGCTGGAACATCCTCTGCAGCCTCTTTGATGCCTCTCATATACAAGAAGCCTGATGAGTTCTTATATCTCTTGGGGACTCTATTAGTGAGATCCCTTGAGTTGAGTTCCTGGATCTCCACACCTGCGTTGGCCAATAGAAGAGGCCCTCACTCCCCCTGTTGGATCTTTTTGTAGATTTTGCAATGGACAGAATGTAACAGGAAGACCTGGAATGGAGAAAAATCCATTTTTAAAATCACTGCGTTGCTGTACTACCCCACCGGGGCCGTCTTTAATGCAGGAAAAAGGGGGCATTTGCCCCGGGCCCAGTCATTGTTGTGGGGCCTGAAGCAGCTGCCCCTTGAGCCCACAATAGATACACATGTGGCACTCGCCCTTGCCGAGGGGTCACGTCTCCATCTGACATCTCCTCCTATCTCCTCTGCAGGACGAGGACATTGAGCGGTAGCGGGCCAGGCATGGCAGGGGCATGATGGGTAGAGGGCAGGGCATGGCGGGTAGAGGGTGGAAGGTAAGAAAATGTTAACAATATTAAAGACCCCACTCCCTTTTGTCAATTGTCAGGTCGTCCTGAAACACATCTGCTTGTGATGCTGGAACACCCTCAGCAGGCTCTGTACCAGGTCTCACGTAAGGGAAGTCGGATGTAAAGAAGGGAAACCCCCAACTTTGGGCTTGATTTTGGGTTTACATACACTTTAAGGAGGAAAAGCTTAAATTGGGTCGGGTTCCGTGACCAATGTTCCCAAGCTCTTGGTCCAGAAACTGATAGTTTGGGGTCATTAGGGGGGCACAAATGTAAGTGAAAAACGTAAGCATTACATTTTGTATTCTGGGCACTCCGTAGTAAGATTTTGATGTGGGTTTTGGTTGTCCGAACCTTTTGGACCGGAATTTTTTTTGCAGTCCATTAGAATTCCACCAATCAGTTGCTCCATCTTGCGTCCCCGTTCACTTGTATGGGGAGTACAATGGAGGCCCTGAGTCATGTCTATGGATCCCTATAGAAGTCTATGGGAAGCCGTCTGGAATAGCAGATCACGGGAAGCTGTGACCAGCCCACGGTGAGTTTCAGCTTCATGGTTTGTGCAGTCCCGGATTCCCCACAAGGCCACCGAGGCCTGGCCTCGGGGCGGCAGGGCGCAGAGGGGCGGCAGCGGTGTCCTTGCGGGGAAGTTGCCCTCTCTACATTCAGTCCTGCTTTGTACAAGCTGAGCTAAATGTAGAGTGAGGCAGCCGATTGTTCGTTTACATGTGAAATCGGCGATGTTGCCGATTTCACATGTAAACAGTGTGCAGCCCCCTCCCCCTCCCCTCCCCTCCCCCCTGCACTTACCTCTCTCCTCTAATCCGGCCCTGGGTTTGTGTGTCTGAAAACCAGCCGTGTCATTTGGGCTTTGGGGGAATTAAGACGTAACGACGAGTCAAAGCCAGCAAAACACAACACATGTGACTCCAGAAAATCAGATTCTTCACACCATGAGGAGCCATGTTTGATTCATTCATTGAGTTCTTCTTGTTGGTGTTCCTCAGCAACACTCAGAACCTGAAACGTTATAACTAATAAAGATAATCAGAACAATGAATGTTTCTTCGTATGATGATCATGTGACAGACGGATCAATTCTTCATTGCTTCCTATGTATCAGATATTCTGCATTGTGTGGTTGATGGTGAGGATGTCAGCCATGTTCAGCTGCCTTTAAAGCCCTCCCATCCCACTACCATGACCACGCCGAGATCTCTGATACACTTTAAACTAGAGATGATCTCAGATATTCAGACCAAACCCGATCCGAACCTGAGGTTACACGGGTTTCCCACCCAATCAGCTGTGGGCTGGGCATCCCCACCCCGCAGCTGCATGTAAAAAAAAATGCTTGTGTCAGCCATTTGTTGACTTATAGGTTACAACAGCAGGGGAGGGGGTTTTCTCCTTACTTCCTGGTTGGTAACGCCTCATCGGGGGAACAGGAAGTGGCAAGGAATCTCCCTAATATGGACACAAACTGCTACTAAAACACCTGCTTCTAGCAGAGCAATATCAAAGGGTCGTGAAGTGCGGGGATCCAGACTCTCCCCTACGCTATCCAATGCTAATGAATAGCTTTGGCTGAAGTTGGGTATTAAAGGCTTAGTCCAAGGCCCCGTTCACACCAGGGGCGGTTGGGGATCAGCGCGGTTTCCACGCATTTAAAAATGGCGGTTTTGAGCCTTAATAATTGCGTTTCAGCACTGAAAAACAATAAAAAACGCCCCAAACCGCACTGATCGGCGCGGCTCCATTAGAATCTATATGGAAACAGTGCTGATCAGCACGGAAAAATAGGGTCAGGCTCCCTTCACACTTGAGCGGCTGTCCGCGCGTATTCGGCTGTACGGAAACGGAGCCGCTCTAAACAGGGAATTAAATGCACTTCAATGTACATCGTTCACACCAATGCGGGGGGCCGCACGGTACGAAACCCCCGAAATAGTGCGAGCGCCATAATCCGGTGGATTCTGCACGTTCGCAGCTATGTTAGAGCCCGTTCACACCAAGGCGGTTGAGGACCATGCTGGTTTCAAAAGGGAGGTTTTGGGAGTTTTTTTTATTGCGTTTTAGCGCTGAAACGCAGTTTAAAACGCCCCAAACCGTGATAATCAGCGCGGTTCCATTGAAAGCTCTATGGAAACCGCACCGATCGGCGCAGCAAAAATAGCGCAGGGAGCAGTTCGGACAGTGGGCGGTTCGGATCGTGCTGAGCCGCGCGGTCGCATGAACGGTCCCCGTAGCAATGAACGGAATCGTTCATGTCGGCAGATCCGCACGGCCGAACCGCCCCAGCGTGAACGGGGCCTAATAGCCGCAAATGAGCGGCATCCATGCAGATTTAAAAATATTCGCTTTTTCGTCCCGCACGGACCGCAAACGCTATGTGTGAATACAGCCTCAGGGAGCATTTCGGGCGGCAGGCGGTTCGGATCGCGCGCGGTCGTATGAACGGTCCCCAATGTATGGGGTTGCGTTCATGTCGGTGGTTCAGCACGGCCAAACCGCCCCGGAGTGAACGGGGCCTTAAACCATGTTTCATATCACACACATCTTTAACATGAAACATGGTCGCATGCAACACCCCCCAAATAAAAAAAAAAAACCTTTATCTGAATTGCGGGGTGCTTATAGGGTGCAGCGTTCTGTTTATTGGATTTAGCCCAACTCTGCACGTCATGTGATCCATTCAGGAGAATCCATCAATGAAGATACTACAACACTCATCTGCCGCTGCAGAGGGACTAAACAGAGCATGCCAGCAGCAGGGTGGTGACACCGCTGCCCTTGTAGTTCATTCATTACTTCTTCCAACCCCATACCAGAAGTTGTGTACCCCCATGTGGACCTGGGGCCGGGGGGAGGGGGGTAAGCAATGCAGGAGCCTGTGTGCTGCACCTGCAGGGCGCTGATCGCAGCTGCAACGCTTTGCAGGCCTGAATGAAAAAAGTAATACATGCCAGTGTTATATTTGATCATTGTTGGTGCATTTATTATATTTCAGGGTGGACTGTGCCTTTAAAAAAACCCTTCAATTGAATAGGTTTTGTGTGGGTGACCCCCAAGATTCTGTCCAATGACCCAGAACAAATCTGCTCTATATTTAGAACTGGAAGAGGCTGATTTTGGCCCTGCGCACTTCCACCTTTCCCGCCTGGCCCAGTCCCTTCCATTGTGATCCAGAAACAAAGGCTCCTGGAGGCTGGAAGCACAATGAGGAGGATTGCCTACAATGAAGAGGTGAAGGGGGCTGCAGCTGGGTGCACTTCCCCTCTCTCAGCCCTGAACAGCTGTGTGCACAGAACTTTGCAGCTTTCCTATTACTTTGTTCTGTTCATTCCCCTTCAATTTGGGACTGAACCATTACATCTGCAGGGAGGGGGGGATGTCCAAAGCTATGCTGCTGCTGATTCACTAAAGGCTGAAGAGTGGGAGCCAGATACCCCTCTATGGGCTTAGTGCAATCCAGAGAGGGGGGGGGAGGGGCTGCACATTGCAATATATTTAGTATTTTGTAACAATTTATAACAGATTAAAGTCTTTCTTTTCATTTTTTGGGAAGTGAACCTTGCAGTGCTGTCGTAGAAATATATACTGCTCTGCATAGGGTTTGGTGCAAGTGTTGCATGCTGCCAATGCATTATTGGCAGTGATCAGGAGCAGATCATCCTGATAGAAGATCGATATATTATTATAATGTGGGTGTTATAGATTCCTAAACTATGGGGATGAGCTGTGATTCAATGGTGGGAACCTGCTGCAGTCAGTGTACAGATCTCTGTGGGCTGCTGCGATCCTCCCTGCTATGAGCATTAGTAGTACATTCTGTAGGGGGAGGGGGAGCACAGACATGCCAGACAGCTGATTCCCAGCTACAGAGCAGAGCCATCATCCTCCTCCTCCTCCTCCTCCTCTGCTGTCTGCCCGTCCCGGGGACACACCGGAACATCTGACATCGGGGGCGGTCATGTGACTGAGTGCCAACCGTCACCCCACAGAGAGAGAGAGAGGAGACCTCACAAGAAGGAGCCATCAACGGCAGCAGGATGGCATTCAGTCCCTGGCAGATGCTGTCACCCGTCCAATGGGCAAAATGGACCTGGTCAGCGGTGAGAGGGAATGGAGAAGAGGGCACCGAGGATGAGGATGACCATTTTCAGGAGTCGGGGTGAGTCCGTGTGTGTCTCCGGAGGACGTGACACTGCCGGGGCTCAGCGTGCGGGGATGAGGATGGGAACTCGGCAACTCACTCCTATCAATACCCATCAAATCAATATCTAATCTATATCCTATATATACTCCAATCAACATCTAGCTAATCTATTCCCTATATAGTTATCTCATTTCTATCACTCCGAGAGATATATTGGATTAGATATCAATCTGATCAGTATCTAATATAGATCCTTTCTATCTGATCAATATCGAATATAGATCCTGCCTATCTGATCAATATCGAATATAGATCCTGCCTATCTGATCAATATCGAATATAGATCCTGTCTTTCTGATCAATATCGAATATAGATCCTGTCTTTCTGATCAATATCGAATATAGATCCTGCCTATCTGATCAATATCAAATATAGATCCTGTCTTTCTGATCAATATTGAATATAGATCCTGTCTTTCTGATCAATATAAAATATAGATCCTGCCTATGTGATCAATATCGAATATAGATCCTGCCTATCTGATCAATATCGAATATAGATCCTGCCTATGTGATCAATATCGAATATAGATCCTGCCTATGTGATCAATATCGAATATAGATCCTGTCTATCTGATCAATATCGAATATAGATCCTGCCTATCTGATCAATATCGAATATAGATCCTGCCTATCTGATCAATATCGAATATAGATCCTGTCTTTCTGATCAATATCGAATATAGATCCTGTCTTTCTGATCAATATCGAATATAGATCCTGTCTTTCTGATCAATATCGAATATAGATCCTGCCTATCTGATCAATATCAAATATAGATCCTGTCTTTCTGATCAATATTGAATATAGATCCTGTCTTTCTGATCAATATAAAATATAGATCCTGCCTATGTGATCAATATCGAATATAGATCCTGCCTATCTGATCAATATCGAATATAGATCCTGCCTATGTGATCAATATCGAATATAGATCCTGCCTATGTGATCAATATCGAATATAGATCCTGTCTATCTGATCAATATCGAATATAGATCCTGTCTATCTGATCAATATCGAATATAGATCCTGTCTTTCTGATCAATATCGAATATAGATCCTGTTTTTCTGATCAATATCGAATCTATCTATCATCTGTTGTATATCTAGCTAATCTATTCCATATATATTGATCTGATCCAATCTCCATCTATTGACCTGTCTCTCCTGCACACTATACAGGGTGATGGGTTATCAGCTCTTCGGAGGGGCTGGCAGATCACACGAGGATACAATGTTGCCAATACATAATATTGATCATCACAGAACGTGTGTTCATGTAACGAGGATGCTCGCCTAAACGTAAAAATATTGGGTGGGAATTGATCAAAATGTGGAGCAGCACGGCAACCAATCAACCAATCAGCTTCTCTCTTCAGTGTATTCAGTTATTTTAAAAAAAGAGAGAGAAGCTGATTGGTTGCCATGCAACAGCTGCTCCAGATTCAGTTTGCTCCAGATTTGATACATTCCCCTCATTGTATATCTATTATTATTATTACGATGATGATGTATGAGGGTGCCAACACTGGTTTCCTTCAGATGTCTGAGATGTTTCTTACACATAATCTTTGACCTCCTAATCCTATACACTTTTTATTTCCCAAATGTATCCTGTCCCCACACATGTAGATGTTTTTATCCTTTCTTTATAATATATGAGGGTTCCAGCACCTGTATATGTTTGTACGCCTGTGCAAAATCTTTATCATAATACAATGCATTTTGTTTGAGGGTGCCAGCGCTCAGTGGCGTCACAAGGGAGGGGGGCCCGCACCCGGGTGCCACCCTTGGAGGGGTGACACCAAAATGACTGAAAAGTCGGACACTCGGTCATGGACCCAGAGCCCCACAGTGTCGGGAGAGAGGAAGGGGACCCAGCGGCATACCTCATCCTGCCAGGTGAACGACCCCCTCCTCTCTCTGCCGGCATCCATCACCAAGATGGCGCCAATAAGATGACCATGCATGATGACATCATCGCGCACGGCGACGTCACACACTTGCGCAATGACGTCGCGGCGGGGTGTCACCTGGCCTCCGCTCTGGGTGACACCCGGCCTTGGGACGCCCCTGTCAGCGCTTGTAGATTTTTCCTTTTCATGATCATGCTATACATTCTTTTTTTTCTCACTTTGTGATATACGAGGGCGCCAACACACGTAGATGTTGCGTACGCAAACTCCTTATCATCAAATTCCTTCACATTGAATGTTTTTGTACTGGTATGAGGGTGGCAATGTATATAACTCTTTTTATATACCCGGGCATAAACTTTATCATCCTATTTATTTTTTTATGTAGGAGGGTGCCAGCAAGTGTACGCGTTTCCCGCACATACTCTGCAGCATTGTTATTCGCAGCATCGCCTCCTTTTCTTTTTGATGTATGACGCTGCCAGCACAATACCATCTGCCTACTCCATCCGGTCCCTGCTGAAAAGAAAATCTCACATTCAGTAGAGCGGAGTTCACACAACAAATGTCATTGTGTGATGTCACAATAGACAGAAAAGATCGGCCTGTGTGTGTTTTAAGGGCTTGTTCACACGACTTTCTGGTCTAGATCCGGTGCAGATCTGCAGACGCGGTGCTATGCATGCTGTGCGTTTTTGACGCGTTTTTTTTGCTGGAGTGGGGCTGTCAGTATGATAGCTGCAGTGCAGTGCGTTTTCGGCGCGTTTTTGACGCGTTCGTGCATTTCTGGACCGGACAAAATGTGACATGCAGTATTTTCTCTGTCCGGAACGGACTGCGCACGAGAGCCCATAAAACACATAGGGATACATTGGGATGCACTTTGGGTGCAGGAGCGCACGGATCACAATCCGGACGTCGTGTGAAGCCCTTTAGTGTTCCAGATCTGCATGATGTTCCCCTCGGTGGTCAGTGATGGGTATATAGGTGATCACCCTCTGGTTGAGAACCGTCTTTTAGATGCATCTCCTGTTATGTTGGTGAAACGTTGGCATGCTGCATGTGGTGGCATCATAGTCCATCACAACATCGAAAAATAGATTCCATAGAAAGAGATCATTGCGTGTGAGTAACTGAAGTGTGTTATTTGTAGCGGAGATCCAGCGCAAGAACCAGCAGCCCTTTCCCTTGTATCTGACATGTCCTGGCTTGTTGGTGGCCCCTGGTCAGCCCTAGTTTGCCTTTTGCTCATTACTGGTTATTCAAAAACTGGAGTTTTCTTATTTTTTTTGCTTTATTTGATAAAACAAATGTGACCGTCTTTGTCTTTTTCTATGATTTTTAGGAAGTCGGTTTAGTATCATCAGTTTCCATAGCGATTTGAAGGCTGTTGAAGTTGTCTAGAGTCGGCCTAATGAGCACTTTGGCAGTGGCGGCATCTCTGCCAAGGCAAGCTTCCCCTCGGCTGCAGTCGGCCTCACTGCCAGGCTCATGACAGATGGCTATATCTATTCAAGTGTGCTGACAAGAAAAAGTGTTGTTGCCCATAGCAACCAATCAGAAACCTTCAACTCTATGCTGCAGAGATGACAGAAGAAACTTTCTTCTTGGCAAACTTTCCATAAGCCCCAGGCTCGTCTGCCCACCCTTACCGTCATACATGCCTGCTCTTATGGTCATACCTGCCCGCTCTTACGGTCATACCTGCCCGCTCTTACGGTCATACATGCCTGCTCTTATGGTCATACCTGCCCGCTCTTACGGTCATACCTGCCCGCTCTTACGGTCATACCTGCCCGCTCTTACGGTCATACCTGCCCGCTCTTACGGTCATACCTGCCCGCTCTTACGGTCATACCTGCCCGCTCTTACGGTCATACCTGCCCGCTCTTACGGTCATACCTGCCCGCTCTTGCCGTCATACCTGCCCGCTCTTGCAACATGCAAACGTGAACTTTACCGCAATGGCTGGCAATGTACTTGTAATGCTTTCATGTGATACAGTGCTGTTCGTTTGAATGGAATCCTAACAGACATTGCCAATGGACCCATGTTGCAATGCAAAGCACAGTTATGTAATAAAGTGCACTGTGGTGCAGTATGCTATCAAAAAATGGTGCGTGACCATCCACAAACAGATGGTGATCACATATACCCATCACTGACCATTAGGGGAAACGTGTCATGTTTTGGCAGCCCACCACTAGAGATGAGGCTGGGCTTGGTGCGCACCAAACCTGCTCAAAACTGTGAACCCCCCCAAACCCAATCTGTTGTGGTGAAGCATTCCTTGCCCCTTTTGTAAAGTATAGCTGCGGGGCAGGGATTGCACTTCCCTGCAACTGACTGGGTCTGGAGGAGGGGTGGTGGTGGTCACAGTTTTGAGCGTGCTTGGGTGAACTCAGGCCAACTGGGTTCTCACCAAGCCCTGCCTCATGACTACCCACCACAACTCGTGTTGCACACCATAAAATGTGTGTCAGTTACAATGTGCATTCAGAAAGAATGGCACCTCATTGCACCAATGCATTTCACGTGGGCCACTGCGTGTTGCGATAAAGCATGCAGCATGCATGTTACCACAAAGATGGTGGGAATGGACCCTTCATGTGTCATGAACTGGGTCTTTCAGAGACCATGTATTCTCTAGCAGTCCATTGGGCCTGTGCTGAGCAACCGAGCCCAACAGCGCATATGGACCCTGAATCTTGCGACTTGGACTTTGCAAGCCTTGAATGAGACAGCTGTGTGTTGCTGACGATCATGTCAGGGTTGTGTTGTCTTTGTAGCACAGGCGGAGGGTAGTATTTCAGTGTGTGAATGCAGGTTGTGACAGGTTGGATAAACAAGCTAAATATTTCCTATTTCTGAGAAGAGATCGTGAAGCCTGTTTACCCGGATGCACCTGTGCTATCCTCTGGTCCCCATGTGGCCTCCTATTCCTGAACTCTCCTTGGTTGATAGGAGATATTTAAATGACTTTCCTCAAATCATACACCCACAGACTCAGAATGTGCAGCTCTCAACATCCTCATGCT